AGTTTAATCATAGAATAGGTGCCTTTTGCATAACCATCCAAGCTTATCCCTTTATCTTACTTTTGCTGATTAAACAGGACTTAGCTGAGTAGTCCCTTCAGAAGCAAGGGCCTAGTGTTTCTGCAATAATCTATGTGTGTGGTGGTGTTGTTTCCAGGTGAGGACTTGGCCCCCCTGATGGGGCTGAGCTAGGGCAGTGTGGGAATCTGTTGAGTGGTCTAGGAAACTGTGTTGGTCAAGCTCATGATCCCTCTGTTTCAGCATCCCCCTCCTCTCATCTTCCATTCTCCACCCACCCACCTCTCTAAACCTCACACATTCTCCAGACTGCTCCTGCAGGGAGCCACACACACTGGCAGGCTTCTAGAGTGTGGCTGCTTGGTCTCTCCCTCAGGAACAAAAGGGGCAGTCTTAAGGTCAAAGCTGCTAGCCTTCTAGGGATTTAGGGACCACACCTATATAAGAATATACTTTGGGAAATTGGTAAGACCCCCTAAATCTTTGGTATGCAAACTTTGAATTAAATGGTTAGCCCACTGATGTCAAGTATTATAATACTGTTTGTAAAAATTTAAGACCCAAGGGGCCTTTGTGAAGGAAGGTAGAGTAGATCAAACAATTATTTATCTTGATGTCATGTTCATTCAGAGGAACTCTAAAGGCCAAGAAACCTGGGAGGCAACTCCATTCTACATGTTGTCCCTGGAGCTCTGCTGAAATCCATGACAGCCCAGTTTGGAGGGAACCCTGGGAAGGAGGCAAACACTAGTTCAGACTCTGCGGGAGCTTGAGGGTTCCAGAAGGACTTTAGTTCACCTGGAAGATGTAAGATGGCTTTTCCAGGGGTCTCTACTCCCACGAAAAAAGGAATAGAGGTAGGGTTCAGCTCCCCAATATTCCTGCGATATCAAGCAACCTCCTTCTATTTTAACTGCAGTCAATCAATTATTGCTCACAGTAAGCCTCTACCCCCAGTACTCAGAGATACACACACACACACATTCACATACATACAAGCTGCAGTACTTTCAGTTTGAGCCAGTGATCTTTTAGGCCCTGAGTTCTCTGGAAAAAAAAGGAGAAAGAGAGAATCTCTCACCAAGCCAACGAAGTGAGCTCTCAGAGCTTGTCTTTGAAAATATTCAGTTGATAGCTCAGTTCCCTAGACCACTAAATTTCTCTCACCCATCCCTTATAGTTACTGTGTAGGAAGAAGGGGGTCATTTCAATTCCCATGAGGGGAAATTAAGAGAATGGGCTTTGCAGGACTGATGAGTTTAATTTGGCTCCATAAAACTTTCCTACATAGAAGGACAAATATTGTATTAGTTCATCATTGTAAAAAGTCAAGGAAAGCTTTTTATATGGAAGGAAACTTCGTGGGTTACCAGGGGTGGGAGGGGAGGGGAGGAAACACTGCCAAAACAAAAATTAAAAAAAAAAAAAAAACCTTATGGGAAAATTAAAAATAAGAGGATAATAGGAAGGAAGAAAAAAAAAAAAAAACTTTGTAACAGGCTGTCTCTCTGAGAGTGTGGCTGCTGGGCCTTTCTTCTACTTAAAATTAACTAGAAAAAAAAAAAAAGCATTTGCTTGTGTCGCATGGGCATGTATTTCCATTTGGATCTGTGTCATTTTAATTTGTCTCAATGTCTCACAATTTCTTCAAAAATAGTTCAAAGAGTTGAAAAAGATGGTATTGCTCTCTGTCAGGCTCTCTCTGTGCTATAACAGGAAATGCATTTCTGACACTTTTAAAATGAGCAATCACACGTATAATCAACTTGGTTAAAACTTCCTTCCTGGTAACTGCAACACTTCCTCTGCATCTGGATACGAAGGGAGACCCAGAAAAGCGGAAGAGTTTACAGGCGCACGGGGTAGGTTTGAATTTGTTTTGTTTTCAAAAATTAAACAAATGATTCTTCAGCATCATCACCTCCACTGCTATACCAGGTACTACTTCCTTCTATTTTGTTGCCCTTTGTTGAGTCTGACTTAAAATAGTGACACTTCCTTCTCAGCTACAATATTTTTATCTGGAACCGTTGTTGGTTCTTGAGATGATGTTACTACTAACTCTCTCTGTTTCATTGTCTAGTTCAACCTGTTTGTGTGGATGTCCACAGGGTTCTGGGGACAGTTTTGCAGGTGCACCAGTCCTTTGTTTTTGTTTGGCAGGAAAGGGGAGGGTAAGCAAACCTGTGCCACAAGGCTTTTTCGTTCTTACAAGTGTATGTTTAGAGATTATTGTATTTACAGGATTTCTAACGTCTGTCTTACAAGGAGAAAGCTTCCTAGCCTCAACCATGAAGGCAAGCAGTGAGTAGTCAGCCTGTTTTCTTCTATACCTAATATCCTGTAAAATTGTTTGGTGTCACTGAGGCAGAAGTTACTGCTGTGGAGTTGTATGGTGCCTAAATTTGGACATATGTTACTTTATTACAAGACAGTGTCAATATTAATATACCATACAGTTCTCTTGTTAGTCCTTGTCTGGTGTAGCAAAAGGCCAGTGAATGTTTCAAGTTGCAAGAGACAGCTCAATAGGACAGCTAGCTTCATTTACTTAATAAGTATACCTTCATAATTTTTTAAGAGATGGACTACTGACACTAAAAGTAAGTTGAAATTTTTCCAATTGACTTTTATAGAGTGAAAGTTTGGTTTTAATAAAGCTTGTCTTCCTTATCTTTTAGTCCAACTCTTCCTTTTGGCATATATCAAATGCTCTAATTTCTTCAGGAAATAATTAATTATGAGTTTCACTAACTAACACTTAGTCATTTAACAGTGTAAATGTTAGTTTCTGGAATTTAATAAAATTTTGTTCCAATAGTTAATTCTCATTTAGTGATACTAAATATACTAAATACAGTCATGCACTGCTTAATGTCCATGACATGTTCCATGAAATAGAACATTATGTGAATTTCTACGTAAATCAGAAAACTTAGGGTACAGTTCATATCTAATGTCAGTTAGTCAAATGTTTGTTTCAGTATATAGTATATAGTGTACCTTTTTAGGAATAAAAATGCTAAAGAAACATTTCCAGATACACTAAACCAACTTTAACATAGTACAGTAATAATAACAATGTTTTGATGTGCATTGCAAGATGAACCCATTTGTTACCATGAATCATCATTTGTATCTTGAATTTTTAATACAGTAGGCTTTATGGGGGTTGGGACCACAGACATAAATGTGGTTGGACCTTGCCCAAATGGTGTTATGCAGTGTATGACTGTATTAAAATCAAAATACTTAATTCATATTTCATTTTAATATGTTTAGCATTTCAAAATAGTTGAAGGCTTTCTTCCTGTAGCATGTCACATTTATATATTTAAATGTTTTCTGCATGGTAGATACTTACTAAATAGTTGTGGAGTGGATAAGTTAATGAGAAAAAAATTGTGTATTTGTTACTGATATGAAAATCTTAGAGCAACAGAGAAGTTAAATAATTAGGGTCTATATAGCAGGCCACTGGAGTCAGAAATTTGACTTCCATCTTCAGACTCCTCCCCTCTCTACAGCAGAGGCAAATCAAATGAATTGGGATAAAGTCAAAACACCTGACTGTTCATATTAGGAGAGTACAACCTTGAATAACTTTTCTAAGATACTGTCCTAATATAGCAGTGACAGCCAGAATGTTTTAACATTTAATGATTCAAAATTTTATATATCTGCCAATGGTCTTGAGTGCAACTTTGCCAATTCTGATATTTTTTAGCTTATGAATGAAATGATGAGCTTTCCTAACAAAAAAGGGAAAAAAAAAATGAAAACACAATTGAAAGAGGAAGTTGTTTAGGGAGTAGATCCAGGATCCAGACAGTTTGAAAATAAAGAACTTGAAGGTTGGTAAGGTGTCTGAGTCCCAAGGAGAAGTGGGATACTGAACAAAGAGGAAGTCAAAGGCCTGTTTTCAAAGTAGGGCGTTTCAGCAGCTCACGTTACACCTTATAAATGAGGGCTTAATCTGGGACAGTTTGCTCATCTTTCTTTCTGTATTGTACAAACCACAGTTGCTATATTGAGCCATTATGGCAAGCACTGTGTTAGATGAGTATTTTACAAATACAAAATACAATCTCATTTTTTGGTTACTAAAATTTTCAAACACATACAAAAGTAGAGAGAATGATCAAGGATCCTCATAAAATCATCACCCAGATTCAAGAAGTATTTAATTCTGACCTCCACCCTCTAAGGTATTGCTTAACCCATGTGACAGATGAGAAACTGGCTCAGAGATGATTTAATATGCCAACTCACCCAGATACTAAGTGAAGGGGCCAGGATTCATGGGTCCCCAACTCCAAAATCCATGCTTTTAAGGGACATCTGTTATCCACTTTGAAGTACTGCTTGTTTTTTGCTGTCTGGTCCAGCACTTCAAGCTGGTTCTTCTCAATTCAGTCAGGGCCCAGAAAGCTAAACCTGGAACACATCTGAAATTGTACAATGTGGGTGAACTGGGACAATAACCTGAAGGGAAAAATTACTAGTGGAGCCCTGATAGAAGCTTAATCCCCTCCTTAGAAAACAAGGGCAGCTTGCACAACGCATTGCAACCAAATCTCTTATCTGCAGAGTCGGAAAGAATGGTGCCTACTCAAAGATGGCTGCCAAATGCTCCATTTGCAGCTCTCCATAGTCTTGGCAATAATCCAGTCTCCCACATCAGGCTCCTGAAAGGGCTCACTATAGTTCTTTCGAGTCTTCCATTTAGGGGTTCCACCTATAATTTTACCGTTCCAGTTACCATTCCCACTTGACCCAATTTTAAAAATTTGTATCTGTTCCTATTTTGCTTCAGTGGCTATGGCTGAACTGGTTCCAACTGGTTCCAAGCCCTGGTCTAGTCCCCTGGTATTCCTGTGGACACAGAAATCGTCTTCGCCTTTTACGTCTGCATTTTGTAGCAACGTTCCTTTCTTCTGACGAAGCCCTTGGTTTCTCCTTGCTCCCAGGTCACACCGGGCATGGATCTGGAGAACTATGAACCACCCGTGGTTCTGAGAGGGGACAACTGCCGCAGGCGCCGTAAGATGAAGCCTCGCAGCACCGCAGCCAGTCTATCCTCTATGGAACTCATCCCTATCGAGTTTGTGCTGCCCACAAGCCAGCGCAATAGCAAGACGCCAGAAATAGTGCTGCTGCATGTGGCCGGCCATGGTAACGTGGAGCAAATGAAGACACAAGTGTGGCTGCGCGCGCTGGAAACGAGCGTGGTGGCTGACTTCTACCACCGGCTGGGTCCAGACCACTTCCTCCTGCTCTACCAGAAAAAGGGGCAGTGGTACGAGATCTATGACAGGCACCAGGTGGTGCAGACCCTGGACTGCCTGCGGTACTGGAAGATGCTGCACAGGAGCCCGGGCCAGATCCACGTGGTGCAAAGGCGTGCGCCCTCTGAGGAGACGCTGGCCTTTCAGCAGCAGCTCACGGCACTGATTGGCTACGACGTCACTGATGTCAGCAACGTGCATGATGACGAGCTCGAGTTCACGCGCCGCCGCCTGGTCACTCCACGCATGGCCGAGGTGGCCCGCCGTGACCCCAAGCTCTATGCCATGCATCCCTGGGTGACATCCAAGCCCCTCCCGGAGTACTTGTTGAAGAAGATTATCAACAACTGCATCTTCATCATCATCCACCGCAGCACTACCAGCCAGACCATCAAGGTCTCAGCCGATGACACCCCAGGCACCATCCTCCACAGCTTCTTCACCAAGATGGCCAAGAAAAAGTCTCTGATGGATATCCCTGAAACTCAAAGTGAACAGGATTTTGTGCTACGCGTCTGTGGCCGGGATGAATACCTGGTAGGTGAAATACCTATCAAAAACTTCCAGTGGGTGAGGCATTGTCTCAAGAATGGAGAAGAGATTCACCTGGTACTTGACACTCCTCCGGACCCAGCTCTGGACGAGGTGAGGAAGGAAGAGTGGCCGCTTGTGGATGACTGCACCGGAGTCACTGGCTACCATGAACAGTTGACCATCCACGGGAAGGGCCATGAAAGTGTGTTCACCGTGTCCCTGTGGGACTGTGACCGGAAATTCCGGGTGAAGATCCGCGGCATCGATATCCCCGTCCTGCCCCGGAACGCTGACCTCACAGTTTTTGTGGAGGCAAACATTCAGCACGGGCAGCAGGTCCTTTGCCAAAGGAGAACCAGTCCTAAACCCTTCACAGAGGAAGTGCTCTGGAATGTGTGGCTTGAGTTCAGTATCAAAATCAAAGACTTGCCCAAAGGGGCTTTACTGAACCTCCAGATCTACTGTGGTAAAGCGCCTGCCCTGTCTGGCAAGGCCTCTGCAGAGACCCCCAGTACTGAGTCCAAAGGCAAAGCTCAGCTTCTCTACTACGTGAACCTGCTGCTGATAGACCACCGATTCCTCCTGCGCCACGGGGAGTATGTGCTCCACATGTGGCAGATATCAGAGAAAGGAGAAGACCAAGGGAGCTTCAACGCCGACAAGCTCACATCTGCAACCAACCCAGACAAGGAGAACTCAATGTCCATCTCCATCCTGCTGGACAATTACTGTCATCCAATAGCTTTGCCTAAGCATCGGCCCACCCCTGACCCTGAAGGGGATCGAGTTCGAGCTGAAATGCCCAACCAGCTTCGTAAGCAACTAGAGGCAATTATAGCAACTGATCCACTCAACCCTCTCACAGCAGAGGACAAAGAATTGCTCTGGCATTTTAGATATGAAAGCCTTAAGCATCCAAAAGCATATCCTAAGCTATTTAGCTCAGTGAAATGGGGGCAACAAGAAATGGTGGCCAAAACATACCAGTTGCTAGCCAGAAAAGAGGTCTGGGATCAAAGTACTTTGGATGTTGGGTTAACAATGCAACTGCTGGACTGCAACTTTTCTGATGAAAATGTAAGAGCCATTGCGGTTCAGAAACTGGAGAGCTTGGAGGATGATGATGTTCTGCATTACCTTTTGCAGCTGGTTCAGGTGGGAGATGTTGGTGTTAACAGAGCCCTCTTCTCAGGGAATGGGTTTTGCATGTGCACAGGCACACCATTCATGTGTTATCAAATACCCTTTGTTTAGGGCTTCATGATTAGTCAGAGTCCATCTGATGAAGCCACTTCAACAAGTAAGAAACTGTTCCATTTACTTTTTTTTTTTCCACCATTGTTAAGGGTTTGCTGAGAAGCCTTTTGAAGATAACCGTTCTTCACTTTTTTGGAGAATTGGCCCTGTGGGAACACTTTGTTCTTATTTATTATGTTAATAATGTTGTTAAGTGCTGTTAAGTCAATTGGATTCATAACAACCCCATGGAACAGAGTAGAAGTATCCCATAGAGATTTCTAGGTCTTTTCTCCTGTGCACCTGCTGGGGGTTCAAACCACCAACTTTTCGGTTAGCAGATGAGTGCTTAACCATTACACCACCAAACAAAAAAAAAAAAAAAAAAAAAAAAAAAAAGCTAAATCGTCTTCAAGTCCATTCTGATTCATAGCATCCCTACAGAACAGAGTAGAACCACCCCATAGGGTTTCCAAGGCTGTAAATCTTTAAGGAAGAAGACTGCCACATCTTTCTTCCACAGAGCAGCTGGTGGATTGGAACCGCCAATTTTTCGGTCTGTGGTTTTTCGGTCTTTGGTCTTTAACCACTTCCCCACCAGGGCTCCTTACACTGAAATGATCTGACTTATTGAGAACTTCCTTGTGCCAAGTTTCCAAAGGGCTGGTGTGCTTTTTGTGTATTACCCTTTTTCTAACTCTCCCAACAACTGCAATGGAAGTCAGATTAATATTTGCATTTTATTATAAGGAAACTCAGGCACAAAGAGGCTAAGGTCACATACTGTGAAAGAAGCAGGCTAGAATTTAAACCCAGGAGGTCTGACTGCAGGGCCTGCTCTTTTCAGTGCCTCCTAATATCCTGCGTCAATCCAGCATCAGGATAGTATGAGGCAGCGAGAGAAGGTTTTACTCTCTGTACTTATCATCATTCATAGACTTACACCTCATATCTGGAGGGAACCTTGAAAGCCCCTGTCTTTTGACTGGTAAAGTCCTGTTCTCACGCTGTTCCCTGGGGTCTAGAATGGCTAAGTGATTTGCCTATGGTTTAACTAGGAAGTTAAATAAAGAGGAAGAATTCTCTTGCTCGCTATAGCTGTTCTCAAATTGTACTGCTTAGCAGGGAAGAGGAAGTAAGGGAATTGGAATAGAAATTCTATTTTTGAGCACAGACATGTTCATTCATTAATTCAACAATAAGTACTCAGTGTTTCCCCTGTTCCAGTTACTGGGTATAGAGTGGTGATCAAAACAGAGCCGATCACTGCCCTCACTGTAGCTGGGGGTGATGTGGAGAAGCCTGACATTAAATAAGCACACACACAAACAGACATTTAATAACAAATTGTGACAGTCGCTTTGTGGGGGAAACCACAGAGTATTATGAGAAAATAATCCAGTACATTTAATTTAGATTGAGGGAGCCCAGGACAGTTTTGAGTAGGTGATATTTGACCTGAGATTCTATAGATTAATCAGGCTAAGAGTGTTAGACACTAAACTGTGTAATCATTATCTGTATTTATAGGCAGTCTCTGGTGGTTTCTGACAAACATTTTGAAAATTCTTAATTTACTCTGAATTTTCATATGCTCATCAGCCAGATTCTTGAAACATTACATATTGTCTCTTAAGTATATCCATTCTTTTTCTCTACCAACTAGTTCAGATACTGGCATAACAGTAATGAATTTTAGAATAATCAGAGTATCTTCAGTTTTTTTAACTCCCTATAACAAAAAGAACATAAAACGAATTTGCCTGAGATCTCTACTAATCTGCAAGCCTATCATGAATTACTTTTCATTGTCATTTTCACAAGCAAATGTTGCAGAATTAGGAAATGAATAGTGCTCTTCTTGATATGTTTTAAGGAAAGAAGTCAATAAATAATATTTGAATGTGTGCTCATAAATGTGAAGAAGAGTAGTCATTTGTCAAACTATTTCAGATGTTTTCAGAGACGGTTAAATGACTCATTCCTGATTAAATTGGTCTTCTGGTTGAGACCTGCACATTGACTCTACGAAAGTGAAATACTAAGAAGGTTAGAAAAATTCATGTTGGGATTAGAAATTGAAAACATTTCTGAAGTAGTGGCTAAATGGCCACATTCTCAGAACTATGGCCTTCAATGCAACTACAATGGCACTTATGTGACCACACCCCTGAAAATCATCTTTGAAAGTATCAGTATAATTAATACGTTATCATTGTGTACCGCTGAGTCAATTTCCAACTCATAGCAACCCTGTGGGACAGAGTAGAACTACCCGTAGGATGTCCTAGGCTGTAACCTTTAAGGGAACAGATCACCAGATGTTTTCTCCCACAGAGCCACTGGTGGATTCAAACCACCGACCTTTTGTTTATCATCTGAGCACATAACTATTGCACCACCAGGGCTTCTTTT